AATTTACAAATTAACTGTTTCTCATGGTGAAGAATGAATGCATTTATTTTAGTAATAAATAGTTGAATTTTACTATGAAAAGAGTTTACAAAGACATGTTTTATCATGCATTTCTGTGAAGCTTTGTGGCGTCTCTGATGAAAAATATTTTTGGTTGCGTTTTCATTTGCAAATTTTTATTTCATCTGCATGTATCAAATTGTAAACCTGTACAGACTGATAAGTAAAAGATTAAGCCAGAACCTGACTATCCATACATTTGAAGTAAGTGTAGTTAAGTGCATCTAGGAGTAACTGAAACCTTCTATAATGATAATAATCCATCCATTATTTTTACCCGCTTATTCCATTTTGGGTCACGGGGGTCGCTGGTGCCCATGTCCAGCAATCACTGTGCGAGGGGTGGGGTACACTTTGGACGGGTCGCAAGTCCATCACAGGGCCACATAGAGACAAACGAGACAAACAACCATTCACTCTCTCATTCACACCTAGGGACAATTTAGAGTTACCAATCAGCCTAACATGCATGTTTTTGGTCTGTGGGAGAAAACTGGAGTACCTGGAGAAAACCCACGCATGCACGGAGAGAACATGCAAACTCCACCCAGAAAGGCCCCTGGACCGGGGTTTGAACCAAGGACTTGCTCGCTGAGAGGCAGCAGCTCTACCAGTTGCGCCACCGTGCTGCCTAATAATAACAATATAATACTTTATTTTTATAGCACGTTTTAAAACAAATGTTACAAAGTACTTCATATTAATCAATTAAAACATCATAAATGACACCAGAAACACAAAAAGCGTAATATATCAATTAAAATACATAATAATATAAGAAAACATGAAAATAAAAATATGAAGAAATTCAGATATATTAAGTGCCTTATTATACTCATGTATGTCTACAAATCACTGAACAGTGTCGCCCCCCCCCATCTCTCTGATCTGCTACAACCGTATGTCCCACCACGCTCCCTGTGGTCAGTGGACCAGTTGCTCTTCACAGTTCCAGGATCTCGTCTTAAGCGCAGAGGTGACAGGGTCTTCTCTGAATTAGGACCAAGACTCTGGAACGAGTTACCTCTGCTTATCAGACAGGCCCCCTCCCTCTCGGTTTTCAAGTCCCGTTTAAAAACCCACTACTATTCAGTAGCTTTCAACACCAGATGATCTGTGTTTTGATCCCGTATGCTCCACACTGGTTAGTCGTCATTATCTGCATCGTTTTTTGTCTATATTCTGATTTACCTCGTTTTGTATTTTGCTTTGTGTGTTACCTGTTGTTCTGTCTGTACAGCACTTTGGTTGGCCTTGTAGCTGTTTTAAGTGCTTTATAAATAAAGTGGTATGGTATTATACAAGTAAGTTTTAACTAAAGATTTAAAAGAAGACACTGAAGAAGCCTGTCTAATATTTAGAGAAAGAGCATTCCACAAACTAGGGTTAGATCAAAATAAGTCAAATTTAAATTGGTTTTCCTGCTGGGCTTTTATTTTGTAAAGCCAACACAGGAAGTGGTCGTGTGTAATTCCTCCGGCGTTCAGCGCGCGCGCTGTGTGAGCAGAAGGAGGGGGATAGTCCCGTTAACCGCAGCTCAGGAGCGGACATTTTCACGCTGCTCCGACTCACGCACGGAGCAAAATTAAAAAGCAGACAAGAAAAATAAAGTTAAACAGGTAGGTTTGGTTAACTAAGTCCATGTTTGTCTTCGTTAAACACTTTAAATTAACAGTAACGCTAAAGAAAGTTCATTCCTGTAAGTTAGCAAGATGTTCTTTTTGTTTCCTTTCTGACTAGTTTTTACATTTATCAATGGAGACTGAGGCGACTGTGGCTCTGACGTTTGTTTACTACTTGTAGCTTTTTATTTAGCTCTCATCGTGTTTTGTTGAAGCTAAACTTGTGTAGTTTGTTGTGCTCGGTGTGGTGAAGGCACCACGGACAGCTCCCGAGCGCTCAGCTCGTTTTTCGTTTCAGCTCACACACCGGCCGCCTCTTCGCTCTGACACACACTTTCCTCAGAAACACCCTCAAGTCAGTGAGTTAAACCCGCCACCGGAGGAAGATGAAGATCTGTTCTACTTGTCTCTACAGCTGATGAACTTTTAGTGTGACCCGATTCAAGATGGCCGCCACAGCCAACTCCGTTTAAAACGCATCAAAAGTGACTCCGGTTGAATCTTAAGTGACTCAACACAAACTGTGTCGTTGCACCAGATCTTAGCTTTAAACTTTTACATAAACTGATGGTGTCACTCGTGTCTGTTAGTAAAATATCTCTTGAACCATAGGACGGAGTTGAATGAAACTCTCAGGGAGTAACCAGTGAATCTGCAACCGATTTACTTTGGGACTTAATCCAATTCAAGATGGGTGCTACAGCTAATCAACAGAAGACAACACAAATGTGGCTCCAGCTCAATCACTTTTACAGATATCGAGCTCAAATTCTCAACAAAAGAAGAAGAAACCGTCCAGATGACCTGACTGAAAATTGTTGGATCTTAAACTTTGTGTGGTTGTAGCTGAGCATCATCCTCAATCCTCATCTGAACGCTAATTCATCTCACAAGCTCTCATAATATGACATGAGGTTGTGCATTATGTAACAGTGTGAACGTTTATGAAGCATTCACACTATTGTGATCCAGTACGTTTTCCAGCTACTTTCAGCTAACTTCAGCTGTTTTTTCAGCTGTGCTCTTTTCAGGATCTTTATGCTAACTACAACATTTTTGTGCTTTTTCTCACTTCTTTCTGCTAACTTCTCATGCTCCTTTCAGCTTATTTCAGCAAGTTTCAGCTTTTCATGTTATTTCAGCTACTATTTAGCTGTCTTATGCTAATTTTAGCTTTTGGGAGTGGTGGCGCAGAGAGGTTAGAGAAGTTGGGCCTGTGATTGGAAGATCGTCGGTTCAAGCCCCGGTACAGACAACATCAAAAACGTGGGTGGGGTAGGTGAAGCACCCACACCTGCCCTCCACCCTCATTCGTCCCACTCTGGGCCCTTGAGCAAGGCCCTTAACCCCCACCATCTGCTCCTCCGGGCGCCCTAGATAGCAGCTCTGCTCCACACAGAGGGCTGTGGTAGCTCGGTGGTCTGTGGTTGCGTCAGGAAGGACATCCGGCGTAAAAAATAACTGCCAAGTCTTCGTGCGACTGAGTTCGCTGTGGCGACCCCTTAAAAGGGAGCTGCCGAAAGAAGAAAAAAAAGCTAATTTTAGCATTTTCAGCTAATTCCACTTTTGTTGCACTCATTTAAACTTTTTTCAGCTTAATTCAGCAAAAATGTGCTCTCTCCACTTCCTTATTGTTATTTAAGCTTCTTTCTGCTTTTTAGCTACTTTTCAGCTGGTTTTATGCTAATTTCAGCTTTTTTCAGAGCTTCCACGTTTTTGTGCTCATTTCTGCTTCTTTCAGTATAAACGGGCAAACGTGTTATTTCTGCTTTGTACGCTAATTTAAGCTTGTTCTACATTTTCAGCTACCTTTTTAGCACATTTTAGCTAATTTCATCTGTTTTCAGATAAATTCAAGTTTTTCATGGTAATTTCTGCTACTTTCAGCCCAATTAAATTATTTCTACTAATTTCAACTTGTTATATGCCTTTCAGCTTATTTCTGCTAGTTGCAGTTATTTCAGATACTGTTAGCTGTTTTTATGCTATTATTAGCCTTTTCAGCTACTTCCACATATTTTGCACTCGTTTCATTTTTTGTGTTCTTTCTCCTGCTGATTTACGCTTGTTCTACATTTTCAGCTACATTTCAGCATGTTTATTTTAGCAAATTTCAGCAGTTTTTCAGCAAGTTCTTCTGCAATAATCACACTGTATTTTTGCAGGAAATGCAATTTCTCTAGTTTACAATATGCATTCCTTTAAGCCATGTGTGTCTTTAATTGGCTCTGTTTTCTCTGAGCCTCCTTCTACCCGTGTGTTATGGGAGGAAAATGATAACTAAAGTACTGTTGGTTGCAAGATGGAGCTGATTTGTTCCTGTGAACCCTGGTCAACTTTAAATTTGTGTCTGCCCCTCATTCCCATCCTGCCTTTGCATCTTGTTCGAGTCGGTGAGGAGGTCAAGGAGAAAATGACTCTTAGGCAGGTCAGCACATGCGTACTGTTTTTGTTAGGTGGCCCAGTAACCAGGAGTAAACAGTTAATCCAGGAAAAGAAGGTCCAGCAGGAGCAGCAACCTGATCTGAAATGAACCAGTTTTTCAGCTGCGGCTTCAAATCTGTAGAATAGTTCACTTGTACATGCACTGCTCTGTAAATAAATACAAAGACCTGTGAGACTATTAAAATTTATTTTGACAAAGCTGTTTTTCCACCATGTCGTAATTTAATAAAAAACAAACGAATAAAAACAGCAGAATTTAAGAGCAAAAATTAAGGATGCACGATATTGGATTTTTGGCCGATATCCAATATGCCGATATATTAAAACTTATTTGCTGATAACCAATGACAATACCGATATTTTATATACGTTCCTTTGTCAGAACATAACCTTCTTATTTAGGCTTATTTGCAACAAAAATTGTGTGACAGCTGTAAGAGCTGGCGACATATATTCAGTAACAGTCATATGATACGCATAGCACTTTGACTTATATTAAATGAAAAGTGTTAAATATTTATTAACATTAGTCACCTGTGATGATGTCTCACTTGTGGAGGCTTGTTCCAGGTTCCTAGCTGCAGTGTGGGATCCTCTGCACTCCTGTACATGAAGGACAGACTTTTTAAGTTCAAAGTTTTTGTCTCTCCATTGTGCCGTAAGACTAATCATGCTAACGAGGCTAACACGACGTCCAAATGTCTGTGGTAAAACTCACCCAACAAGTCGTGTTATCAGTTATTAGCTTCTCAATGACGTCAGAAATGACGACTTGTAACTCGGGTAAAGGTACATCAGAAAAATATCTCTGACTGGGGACGATGTAGCGAGGCTCAACGTAGTCCATAAATCTTCGGAATCCGACATCCTCACCAATGAAAAATAAAACTTCCACACCACCGACATTTTGAATTTTCGTCTCCACCGTGAGCTCGGGTAGGCGCACGTGATGTCATCACATTGTGCTACTGCTGCAACGTCATCACGTTGTGCTGCCGCCACAGGCATAACCAACACCTTTTATATCGGCGAGTTATTTTAATGTAATGGTCAATGTCCGATATTGAACTTTAACGCTAATATCGGCTGATACTGATACCATGCTGATAATATCGTGCATCCCTAATGAAAATAGTATGTTTAATGCAGTCTTCTAAATATGCACTGTAAAAAAATAACAAAAACAAACTTAAAGGATTCAAGGTTCTTTGTTATTCGCACCCCGTGTGGTACATGTGGTGGAACGAAATTATGTACACAGGGTCCCAGTTACATCCAACAATAAAATGTAAAAGAAAAACAGTAATAAGACACTAAGCACTAATAGCACAAAAACATCACATCGAACAGCAGAAAGAACATGAGTCTGTGTGAACAGATGAGCACACAACTCCTGTCTAATTATTTTACATAAGCATGCATGAACTAAAACAACATAAATGTACAAAAGGTAGATTTACGGATGTTTCAATGAAAAAAAGTGGCTCAGAAATCAACAGAAAAATCTAAAAGTTTGGGTCATGAGGTTGTATGGATTTTACCCGGTTTATTTCCTTAATTAGTTAATCTTAAAAACTTTTGTCAGCTTCTTTTAAATGTGCTGTAGAAATAAATTTTACATTTACTAATCATTATTTGGTAAAAAGGCAAACGGTGTTACCTTAGAGGGCAGAGCAAACCTTTTCTTTGTATCTGGACTTCTGCTAAGACTCGGGTTGTATAAAATCAGCTTTGTGGTTCCTCCTGCTGTTCTGCATCATCAGAAAAAGGTGAGAAATCACCACCATCCTCTGCGGCGCTGCCACATTTGCTAAAACACACATAACACATATTTTCCTGTCATTTTAGGGCTGTGCTCACATGTCGTTGTCGCTCACTTGTTTGAGCATCAAAATGAGCAGCGAGCTCAGATTGTTCAGTGTTGGTGTCTTTTTTGGTGCTGTCCTTGTCCTGACGAGACAAACTGTGTTAGAACATTACATCACACAACTCTTAATCAACATACATTTGTTTCAATTTTCATTTTTTGAGTAATTGGATACCACACCATACCGCTTTATTTATAAAGCACTTAAAACAGCAACAAGGTCAGCCAAAGTGCTGTGCAGCAAAAACAAAACAAGCAAAGGACACAAGATAAATGCATAGATCCTGTTATGGTCCTGATAAGTCCAGGAGTAAATGGCAAGATGCACAACATATGAAGCTCAGATGATTGTGTAATTTAGACAAAACTTTAATTGTCAATCACCTGAACACAAATGCAAGCTCTAGTTAAAACAAACAAAAAAAGGGAGAGGCGCTGAACCAGCCAGCAGTTAACCGTCGGATTCAGGCTGCACCCCTCGCTCTATGATCCAGGGACTAACCCTACAACCAAAAACCTCAGAGAGCGCTGTGGGACATATGGCTGCAGCAGATCAGCGAGATAGGAGGGATCGCATATAACGTTTTTTAGTCATTTTAGATGCCATGAAGTTTTTTTGTGTTAAGTGTTGAGGTACCACCAAACTCCAAAATCAAACACCAACATAACTAATGTCAACTAATCT